CCTCCCCCATTGTTGGGCTTGCAGAGAACCAGCCTTCTGAAACAACAGTTTCCACCGGCTCTCGTTTGTTTCTGTTACCTTTTTGGCTAGAAACGTGTCCTAAGAAAAGAGCGTGGGAACGGGCTCTTCCTTCGCTGAGCCCTGGACACATTTTGTCTGGCTGTTAGGTTACTGTTGTTGTCAGCGGTGACTACAGTCACTGGATACACCAGCAAGCCTGTGTGTGTTCACCGCATGAAAATAGAGGCGGAAGATTCTGAAACAGTTGTGAGTGTTTTAACGGATTGTTTGGTTTATTAAGAAACATTCATGTACGTAGGGGGAGGGTAGGGGGAGGGTAGGGGGTGGGGATCGGTGGGGCTCCAGCCCTTTAGCCTTTCACTACACCACGTCACTGCCTACAGAAATGTCCACATGTCCAATTTGAGTTGCACGTGCCGTAAAACTGGTGCCTCTTGCAGCTCGCGGCCGGTGAGGTACGAGGGGTCAGCGAGAGGTCAAGGTTACCGGGAGTTCACGGCATGGAGGGAGCAACATGGCCGACAGTACAGCAGTGGGGAGGAGCTAATGAGGAGGTGGGTATGGCTGTCTGTCTGTCTGCCCCCCCCCCCTTTCTCTCTCTCTATCTATCTATCTATCTATCTGTCTCTCACTCTCTTTGTGTGTGTCTCTCTCTCTATCTCTCACTCCCTCCCTCTCTCTCTCTCTGTCTCTCTATCTATCTATCTATCTCTCACTCCCTCTCTCTCTCTCTCTCTGTATCTCCCACTCTCTGTCTGTCTGTCTGTCTGTCTGTCTCTCTCTCTCTCTCTCTCTCTCCCCCCTCTGTCTCTCACTCTCTATTCAACATTCACACGGCTTCTGAATGGTTTGGTCACGCTTCGAATAAATATGAATAGTGGAGACATTCCTGTAGTCGAATAGACACAGTTCTAGTGTTGTAGTAGAGTCGGATAGACACAGTAGAGTCGAATAGACACAATAGAGTCGAATAGACACAGTAGAGTCGAATAGACACAGTTCTAATGTTGACCCCCCCCCCCCACTCCACTCAATATGTGGGTACTGCTTGGTACACAGCCGTCCCAAACTACTGCTACTACTATTACAACAACTACAACAACTACTACTACTACAACTACAACTAATACTACAACTACTATTACTACTACTACTACTACTACTACTACTACTACTACTACCACTACTACTACTACTACCACTACTACTA